CTTATTAACTGCACACAATCAAGCTACTTTTTCTGCTATGCCTACAAAGTGGTACCAATCAAAGTTTCTTGAGTCTACCCAAGAGCAAGGGTACCATTTAACAACCAAAAAAACTGACCACCAAAATGACAAAAAAATCGCCATAATCAAACAAACAAACAATTAAAACAAACAAAACACCAAACTGAAAAACAAAATAATGCTGTGTTCTGAATTCTATTAGTGATCAGAATAATCTCAAGAGGAAAACCAAGATCCTTATGGACTGTTAATTCGGAAATTAAAGTATAATTTTTTTTGTATGTTTACATGTAAAAATATGCAGAGGGTACAAATTTCTTAATATAAATTGAAGAACTCTTCTCATTATCTGACTATTTGGATGCTCTTTAATGTCACATATGCATAAGCATTCTGCAAAAACACATTCTCCCCAGTCATATTAATCAGCTTTTAATAAAACTATCTTATGCTACCACAATTTTTAAAAGGCTCATAAAGTCCTTTCTGTGTTGGATCAGAAGTAATAAACCAAGCCAAGACCATCTTAAGATAGTTTTGAGGGTTCTTTTCTTGGTTTTGTCTTTTGTCAGCTTTTAAAATAAAGGATATGCATAAGAATATTTCAGAATCAATGCTCAGAAAGTTCTTCTTTCACAGGTGCATAGAAAACTAGAATTTGCTGTTTATTCCAAGCAGCAAATAGAATCCTCTAAAAAACATAAGAAACACTTGGTTTATCCAACTGCAGATTGAAGGAACACTCCCCATTAAAGATTAAGGTGCAAATTTCCTACAGTTATTTGAAGAAACCCCATCATGACAAACATCTACATAATACACAGATATCCTACACATGTAAAATGAAATGCAAGAAAAAGATTTTTTTTTTTCTCCTAAGGGGGGTGGAGGTTTTTATTGCAGTATAAAGCAGTCCAAAAGACTCACACCTGCTTTTATTACGACGTCTGAGAATGCCTGGTTTATGTATGCTTTCCAAACATTTAAAATATCATCATCATCATCTTGCATAAAAACACCACAACCCCAAGACTGGAACATCAAATAAGCAAACAAGAAATAAGCAAACAAGCAAAGATACTGAAATGGTAAGATGAACCTTGATGTATAAATAAATTCTTCTACAAAATTTGTAAGAAATATTTAACTTTAGAGCAATTACAAATGAACTTAGATGCTAATACATCTTTTACAACAATCTAAACATGTTTAATACCTATTAACTCTTGAGAGCTTAAGAATGAAAAATAAATTTAAAGCCCAAATCACAATGCATCTCCAACAAGATAACCATTTGCTGATTTTTGTAGAAGAACCCACTTTTACCATATACTGTTTTATGGTGAATTTTGCAACACTGGCAGATAATTTCAGCTTTCTGACAACTTCCACCATTCTTCCCCTTGTAACTTTTCATGCCTTTCTAAAATGCTGTATTTGGTAATGCTCAAACATCTGAAAACCCTGCCTGGGATTGCACCACCTGCACCAAGCCTGGGTGCATTCACTGCATGACATTAATAAAGGAGAGTGGCTCAGGGAATCCAGCTGGCAGGACAACTGCAACAAGGACATGCAGGATTACAGAGCCTGGCAAAACTGCATCTGCAACATGCAGGGATTAGGAAAGGAGGAGATAATCCATGGAGGGGTGTTACTCACTGCACACATCTGAGCAGACACGGGAGGCAATAATTTCACTTGGAACTTGACAAGTAGGCAGGAAGGTAACAATCTGGCTCTTTGGGATTTTTTTATCCCAAAACTTATGCTGCTCCCTAAAGCTACTGAAATGGCATAGAGACATCTAATTTAAAGGGGAGACAAGATGATGTCTAAAAAAAATCCCAGCATTTCTAACAAAACAAATTACATGTCAAAACAGTTACATATAATGTACGCATAACAAAAATATCAGAATGAGGGATGAAACTATATGTCACTAATACGAGAGCAAATTACATCAGAATTATTCAAAACCCAGAGTTGCAGACCAAAAAGCTCCAGAATTAGACATGCATTTTAAAGAAATCCATTCCACTAAAATAACTGCAAGGTAAGTCAATTATGAAGTAATAGCAACACGTGTATAAATGAGACATCACCATATTGGAAGTATGAACTAGAACAAAAGTAACCTTAGTGATAGGGTTTTTATGAAGGGGAAGAGATGTAATTTCCTCTTATTACTTATTAGTAAAAACTATGTAAAAACATACTAGGTAAAATTCTTTCACTCCTCCAATTACAACAAAAAAGTCAATTAGTCTCAGATACTTTTCTTGGCTGAAGATGTTGGGAAAAGTTCAAGATGTGTAGCTGTCAAAAACCTTCTCCATTCGCTTAAAATGAATTTGAACTCTTTCCTCTTCCTTCCAGAGGGGCTGAGTTTCCGTGTTCTTACTTTTGGGAGAACTGATCTCCAACCTCCAATCTCCACTCTATACCATTGTACCATTTACTCCTGTAAATTCCATTTTTTCCTAAGGGCTAAAACTGCAGGTGCTTAGAGCAAAGGCCCACATCATGGAGCTACCCTGGCTTTTATTGCACAAATATTCCCTAGCTTTCTACATGGAGGCAATTGGCTTGGTAGACCAGTGGCAGCAGAGAATGTCATTCTGAACCTGACTTCAGCAAGGCCTGCAGTGTTCCAGTGTCCTTCAAGCAGATTTGAAACATAGGGACTAGACAAGAGGACAATAATCTTGGAAAAAGCCACCAGACTGGAAAGGCTGTGGTGAGTGATACAAAGTCCAGCTGGCAGCTGGTTACTGGGGGTATCCCTCAATTGCTGACCCTGGGAAAAACAGTTTAAAACCTTTATTAACCCGAACACACTTTCAACATGCCTACAGATGATATTAAACCAAATTTGTTCACTCTCGAGGTATGACAACTAGAGGGAGAAATTCTACTGCTTTGTTCAATTAGGTAATGATATGATAGATAACTAAGATGCCACCAGACTCCTTTCAGAGAAGCACAGTGATAGGACACAAGGTAGTAGACAAAGTTTCAATAATCAAAATAGATGACAGGAAAAAAAATCACCACAACAGTCATCAAACACCAAAACAGATACCCAGAGAAGCTGTGATATCTGCATCCTTGAGAATTCTGGAATACTGATGGAAGAAAGCTAGAGGAGTGCCACCTTCTCAGTAATTCTATCCTCTTTAGAGGACAAGCTAATTAATCAAAGTTAAAAAAACTACTGAGAATCACAGAGTGTGAAAACTAGTAAGTTAAAGAGCTAAGTAAGGAATACTTTACAGTGTATTTGCCTCCTTGTTTCTTTTTAAAACAGAGTTTTAAAACATGGTTGAAACATCAAGGTTGTTCCAGAATTTGTCTGGTAAAGGTCTTAGTAACACGTGACAGCACAGTGCTAGGACATTCATCTGTTCTGAAAAGCAGATGCAAGTCATCACTCTGCTTTTGCCTGCTGTGCTGTGTGGCATGTACTATGCATTCACGTGTTTTTCTGCCTTCTTTGTGAACTGTGTACTGGAGAACCTCTATTGTATTTGCTCCCTGAGTTGTGAGGTGAGAAGACATTTACAATACTTCTTCTATGTAATCTTCCCTCTGCAAGGAGAATACCTTATTTCAATATCTAAATGTCAAAGTAAGTAAAAAGAAACTGCACAGGATTATTATCTCCATGCTATAGTTGGAGCAGCAGAAAATTGACAGTTAAATGACTTTCTCAAAGTCAGAACAAGTAGCTGAATAAAGCACAAGAAATTAATACAAAAATTTCCAACTTCCAGGTTTTGTGTTGTCAGCGAGAGAGAGAAGTAACATCTAATCTCTGTGGTGCCCAGTGACAGGACCCAAGGGAGTGGCCTGAAGTTGTGTCAAGGAAGGTTTAGGTTGGATGTTACAAAAAGGTTTTTTACCCTTTACCCAGAGGGTGTTTGGGCACTAGAACAGCCCCCCAGGGAAGTGGTCACAGCGCCAAGCCTGACAGAGCTCAAGTGTTTGGAAAGTGCTCTCAGGCACATGGTGTGTGATTCTTGAAGATGGTGCTGTGCAGGGCCAGGAGCTGGACTCACTGGTGCTCGTGGGTCCATTCCAACTCAGAATATTCTATGATTCTGTGATTTGCCAATAAGAGAGAAAATAAATATGCACATACAACGTGCTTCTCCTGTTGGACAATATATACCTTTTCTTTTTTGCTAGCTTCTAGACATTTATGGTCTGAAATAGCTGGGGACAGCTGAACGTAATGAGAAAATGAGAATTCCTTTAGAATGAAATGTAAGAATGCATTGTTTCACACTAAATTAGACTCCCTCCTGTCACTGTGCTATTTCTTTTCCATTTCGAGATTCATCATCCCCTCATCCCAACACAAAAAAGTTTTCCTGACTGCTAAATAGAAGATGACATGAGCACCTTCGTCACTTACAGAAAGAAATCAACAAACACTTTTTGAGATTTAGCAAGCCTCTTCCTACATTAGCATTAAAGGCAATTTAAAACAATACTTGAAATGTTTCTGCAACATTTAGCCAAACTCAGTCATGACTTCTTCACATTTACTGAAGTTGGGATCATTTTAATTTTACATGCATGTAGTCCTAAACTGCAGATCTGACTAATGAGTCACTGCCTCCTTTCCAAACCCACCTTCTGTTTTCCAGGCCAGACAAAATAGTCAAGATTCCTTTGGCCATCAGAATAACTAAAAAAAATATCAGCTCTCCCAAAGCAGTTACAGGCTGACTTTCCCTCAAATTATCAATTGATGCTATCAGTTGTCGAGCTAGAGCTCTGAGACTCTCATGCTTTCTTAGGCTCAAACATCAAGTGACAGAAGGAAAAATCAGAGGTGCTTCCAAGGCAGATCCTGGGACAACGTGGCCCAACTCAGCTAAGATCAGTGACACCCTTTTGCAAGGCTGACACGGTCCAGCAGATGGGCTGGCAATCCAGCCAGCAGATAAATTGTATTTACTACTTCTTACCTGATATGCGTTGCTGGTAGGGACTCGTACTGGCGAGAAAGGAAAAGCTCTCTGTGCTTCAACTGATGTTTCTGTTTATCAGTCAAATCAACCTCAATTGTAGTTTCAGACTCTTCTTCAACTTCTTCTGCAGAGAAGCAGAGCGTAGGTCGAAATTAACTCTGTTGCATAACATCATTGCAACCATTTCATTTGACATCCCCCCACCCCTTAGCAACCTCCTTTAGTATTTCAAAGAAAATATGAGTTTAACAAGACTACAGTTTATGTAACTTGACAGAATGTTAAGTATTTTGAATTATACACTTCTACTTCAACCCTTTAAAAATTATGCTCCTCTCCTCTGTACTACGCATTGATGTCTTTCACACAGTTTAAGAACAATCCTGTCAACATTACTCATTCCTTTTTCATCTTCTTTCCTCTGTTTTTTTTCTCTTGCTTGCTGACCATTTTTGGGTTTGACTTTCTCTTGCCAATATTACTACTACTAAAACTTTTACAGAAGTCCTGGAGAAAAGTAAACTTTCTATGAACTGAAATTTACTAAATGTAATTGCAATCTAAGACTGCAAAATCAGTCTAAGAAATCTGAAAAAGCCTAGTGTCTTCCATTACTTTAACCTTCTTAGATACTGACAACAAATGCAGGGTATTTGCATATTTAAATAAAATTTAAAATTGTTTCTATTTTAAGCAAGACAGGAAGAAATAAAAGCAGATACTAGAAAGAGACACATATAGAACTGAAGGGCTATATTCCAAATGCTTGCTAACACATCACACAATGGCAAGCTCTCCAAAAGAGCTATCCTGGGATCTTGATGGCTGAAATCTGCCTTCCTAGTGGATTTCTGGAACATGTGGAACTTGAATCTGTACTTCCTCTAGCTTCCCAAAAAGGGCAAAAAGTATCCTCTGAATAATGGATGCAAAAATACAGACCCTTTAAAAACTTCTCTAAGATTTGGCACATTTCTACCTGGTAAATTATCCATCACCTGCAAAACCAAGTGTAGTTTACAAAATATTTCTCAGAAACTCAACAACAGAAGCTCAGCATGAGATAGTATTTCATGTAACTACCTACAACAGAGGACCTCGCCTGCTCTACTAATAATAACCATTTTTACAACCAACCTACAACCACTATTTCAAAATGAAGCCTGCATGCATCCTCATAGCAACCACAGTTCTCTCCATATGCAACACTACTACTTTTTTTAATCATTTTTTTAATGCCTGTGTGTAGTTCATTCCACTTCTAATAGTTCTTTTCAGAGAAGTGATATAACAACATACCCCAATGCAACCAACTTCTTCAAACCCAATTCCACTCTAAGTCTATCTTGCTGTAGACACCCCCCCACCTCTTCCCTGTTTTGGCATGTTTTGTGGAGAAAGAGTGCAAGAAAAAAAAAGAAAACAAGAATTCCATCCATCTCACCTGACAACCCACAGCCTCACCTGACATATGTGAAGGTTCAAGTCAGACTGAACTCAGAATTATTTTTACATCTATAATACTGACAATGAATAAATCTTAAAAGAAATCTATGCCAATGCAAAGCATTTTTTAATTAGGCAAGTAATTAATTAAAAAATAGAAATTCATGTTAAAAGGTTTATGTTTGTGCTGGTTTTGGCTGGGACTGAGTTAATTTTCTCCACAGTGGCTAGTACAGGGACAAGTTTTGGATTTGTGCTGGGAGCTGTGTTGATAATACAGGGATGTTTTTGTTATTGCTCAGCAGAGCTTGCCCAGAGCCAAGGCCTTTCCTGCTCCTCATAACACCCCATCAAGGAGGAGGCTGGGGAGGCAGGAGGAGCTGGGAGGGGACACAACCAGGACAGCTGACCCCAGTGACCCAAGGGATAGCACAGGGCACCATGATCAGCATATAAAGCTGGGGGACAGAAGAGAGTTATTGGGAGCCATGATGTTTTTTCTTCCCAAGTCACTGTTGTGTGTCACAGACCCCAGCTGTCCTGGGGATGGATGAACACCTGCCTGCCCGTGGGAAGCAGTGAATTAATTCCTTGTTTTGCTTGGTTTGTTAATTCCAATTCTGCCCCCCATCCCACCTGGGGTAGTGAGCCAACAGCTGTGTGGTGTTTTGTTTCAAGCTGGGCTTACACCACACCAATGTTTCCAGCAATTAGTTTCTACAACTGTTTATTACAGTAAGTGACCGTCACAAGCTACATTTTAATTGTCAAGTTCAAGCATTAATATTTCTTCTAGATACCTTGAGTTTGGGGCTTTTTTCCTAAGTATTTTAGGCATCCAAACACAAGTTTGGTTAACATATCAAAAACATCTGACTACAGATAAGGCACAAAACACAGGGCAATATGGGCCATTTTAAAGTTGTTGCAGGAAGCCAGAGATTAAGAAGAAAACTCACTGCATTTAAACAAATTTATTTCACTAATCTTACATAAGACATGAAAATGTTGACCCAAGAGCATGTAGCTGAAACTAAATGTCTCTTAGACCCACCTCTTAAAACATTCTGAACCTAAACATGCAACAATATAACTTTTTCTGTTGCATTTTTAGAAATAAAACAGATGTCTTACACAGGATGGTTTGACAAGCTCAGTAATAAGTAGAACAAACCATGGCCAGACACAGAATAGTTCCATCCACTCAATACAATTTACCATCGGGAAAATTTTATAATTTCCTGCTTCAGCACTAAAATACAAAACCAATGTTAATAGTAGGATTTTGCAAAACAAGCAATAATTTGTCCCAGCAATCATACAAACCTGTACCAGGAAAGGAAACTGGACAGCATAAAGAAGGGAGGAAACTAAGTTTGCCTGATGGCAACACAAAGAATTCTGCATCTGAAGAAACCTCCAGAGAGCTGCATTTGAAGCAGGTTTTTGCAATGACCAGGCCTTCATACCCGTTAGAAGAAAAGTGGTAACAACCTTGCAGAACATTTAGAGATCTCTTCACATCTTTGACTTGACTTACAGCACATGTGAATTTCATTTGCCATCTTAGGAGAGATTATTTCTATCAAAAGGAGTGACATAGAAGGTACCTATAGGAAATCAAAGTAGCACCAAGCTAAGCACATTTCAGCACTCAGAAAGAGAAGAAAAGCAGTAGCTCAGAGTGAGCAAATACTTTAATGCAGCAATATGATGATGACATACACAGACCTCATTGTTCCATGATTAGACAAAAAGAATTAGTTTAAAATTGCTCAGCTAAATATAATTTTGAAACTCCTAGGTATGACTCTACAGATGAATACTTCATACATACATACAATCATATTTTGAAAATTCCACAATCCCCTTTAGGCCTTGGGCAAAATTTAAGATAATGCTGTTTTGTAGCACCTTTCTTGGTTTACAAGAAGTATTTCATTATTTAAAAGAAAAATCCTGGTGAGCAAAAGCAGGCATCTCCAATGAGCTTTTAAAACTTGTGGTCTATTTGTTATCCAATCATCAGTGGTAAATAATTGTTGTGATCCTGAAGATACTTACAAGGACAGCTCTGCAACTTTCCCTTTCCCATCTGATGTAAAATAAATGAGACTTAACTGACTCAGTTAAGCAATGCACACCAGAAAGAAGCTGTAACCCTCACTCATTTTAATATGCATCACCACTTTCAAACATGAGGAACACTCTTTTTTTCCTCTTCCATTTAATTTGTGGGATTTGCCGTTAGAAAATGGTGGTGTTAGTGAGCCTGAGAAAAAGAGAAAACCGTCCATGCCACCTAAACTTCATATACAGTATCTTTGTTTATAGTTATGTGATGAATCAAGCTTGCTATGAGGAAGAATTGCTTGTTTCTGCAACTAAAACGAAAATAAACTGAGGGCAAGTCTCTAGAAACACAATACTCCTATTTAATATAAAAATTATTTTAAAATATTTTTTTTAAGTCCTGAAAGATATTTAAAGTTTTAAATGCAGCTCCAACAACTGCATAGTTAACCATCAGCTAGCAAAACAAGGTCAATTCCTCAGACATACTACCCTTCCCTAACTAAATCAAAATAACCCCCCATGTGCTCCCCTTGTGTACTGCAACAGAGTAAAAGAGAGTAGTTTAAACACTGAAGACTACCTTCAGGGAGGAGGAGTAATCTTCAGTATTAAAAGAAAGGAGAAAGTTCTCCCTCTACTGCCACCAAAATGCTGACAGCATTCTCTCCCTCCAGCTAGAGCTGGAATCCGGAAATTCAATCAAAAGTCATGGGAAATAGAGTAACTCAGGCTGGAAGGGGCCTCAGGAGTTCCCTTGCAGAAACTATACCTCAAAATAGGCTCAGCTGTGAGGTCAGTCCCTGGTATTCAGTAATTGAAAATCTCTGAAGACAAAAGACCACATAACCTCTCCATTTCCCAGTAACAGAGAAAAGCTCCTACATGTATCTAATTTGAGTCACTCCTGTTTTAATTTAGTCACTGCCAGGAGTCCAACTCCACCTTCTGGTCTATAACCCCCATAAGCACTGGCAGCCCACCTCTTCTCCAAATTGACAAAGGCCAATTCCAGCTGACTCTCCTAGAAGGGCAAGTGCCCATCACGATAGCTTTTGCTGAATGCATTCCAATTTATCAGGAACCTAAAACTGGATGCAATATAATTCAATGTAATGCAACGAGTGCAGAATAATCAGGGAGGATAATCTTTTGCCTTGATCTGCTGGCTATGTGCCTGGTGATACAGCCCAGGATGGTCTTGGCCAACTCCCTTCCCTGTCAGGGAGCTGTCTGGCAGCAGCCTCAGGGTCCCCCCTGCAGAGCTGCTCCCCCAAGCCCCTCTGTTCTCAGCTCCTGCAGGAGCTCTTCCTTCCCAGGTGCAAGACTTGGCATTTGTCCCTACTGAACATCTTCATGTTGACATAGCACTCCTCCTGCTTTCTAGGAATCCCTGCATACCAGCTCTTCCCTCAAGCCATCCCCCAGCCACCACCCCATTCTTGTGCCACCCTGCAAACATGGTAAGAGTGCATCACATGGCCTGCCCCAGTCACTGCTAGGACAGCTCCCCATGGAGATTCCCACAGCCTCCACACAGTGTGGATGCTTAACCACAACCCTCTGACTCAGACTATGCAATTGGATTTTTTTTCACCGAGTTGT